AAAAATGCACTTTTTCATTTCATTGATATGTTAACCAAAAAAGAAAGAAAAAAAGAAAGAAAAAAAAGGACTGCTTTTGTAATCTGAATTGTAACAAAGCTTTCATCATAATGTTCAAATTTGAGGCAAAATCTCATGGAGTTATATGCTATAAAAGTGGTTATTTTCATTTTGATAGTACTATAAAAGACTATAAAACCTGAAATGCAAGTGAAAAGGCTAATATAATCGACATAATAGTTCATGGAGTTCAATATATAACATTTTACACTCCATTCTGTGCATGACAGAGTTGCTGATATTAATTCAATCTGATATTTAGATGTAAGCTTAATTCTTCATTGCATAGATAACATTTTGAAATTACAAATACCATATATGTATAAACTATAATTCTTCTTTTTTTTTTTTACATAAAGGATGATTACCATAAATCCTGATAAAACATCCAGAAACATGTCTGAGTAAAAATAATCATTACATTTCATAACTTGTATTTAAATTAATTTGATCTTAAATGCATCAAATGATTGGGTAGTTTGATTTTTAGCGCATAAGCTGTAAAAAAAAAAAAAAAAAAAAAAATTTAAAATCATATTGTAACAATTAAACCTCAATCTTTCACCCAATTTTCCTCATCTCTTCAACGAAAGTTAATTTCAGGACTTTGTTTAGCCAAATCTCAAAATTATGATAAAATTTATCTATTAAAGATCTACTTTAATGAACATTTTTGGGGCTAAACTTTATTTTACTTGATTAGTAAATGTCCCTTTTTTCTGATTTCATCATCATATAAAAAATAAAAATTAACATGAGATATTTAGTTACAAAGCCATTAATACCACTTTTTGTCCTTTTTCTGATTTCCTGTACATATAGAATTTTGGAGTGAAATATATTTCTATAAATTTGAATTGATTATACATAGTAGAATAGCGTCAAGAAAATACCTTCCTGTACTTTAGCACAATAAAATAGATACTTGAATATCCTTTTCATAAATATCTTAGAAACCCTTTCCATGAAACACTAATTCATTTAATCTGTAACCCAAAACCAAGCAGTCAAGAGAGATTCTTGCATGTGCTTAACTTAGCAACTTGATGAGCATTTAGTGTGGGAAGATTACACATTTATGACCTTTTTATTCCACAAAACCTATTCTAATATCAGTCACTCCTAAAAGACAGACATCTTGGCTAGTTCCAAGTGTGAAGAAATCTATCCAACACTACTAACAACAGTCACATTAACATCGCAATCAAAAAGCGATAGCAAGAAATTAAATATTACTTTGTTAAAAAATTATAGAGTAAGACGTGAGAGTATAAGCACATTTCCAATCTGACGGAACAGTACATTTAATCATAAATACATGATACATGTATTCTATTATATTCGTGTGTGTGTCCATGTTTGTATGCATATAGTCGCAAACTAATGTGTACATGTGTATGTAAATAAGTGACTGTATTAATGTACAGATATATGTATATATGGATGTATGCAAGTAAATAAATGTCCCAAAAGTAATACCACTTCTACAATAAGCACAAAAAGGGCAAATTACACAATGGGAAAATGCCATTCATTGGAAGAACAATATGGAATACGTATTTGACCGTAAGAGTCAGTCCTACTGATGAAACTCATCACAAACATACACGTAATTTTGGGAATTAAAGTTACTCTCACCGCATCAGCAAGGCAGGTATGGAAAAAACCTTACTTCAGGATACATGTAAACAGGACAAGGTTACACTTCTAAGCTCAAGTCAAAACCAAGAAAGGAACCATTTTCTTAATCATTTGTAAGACTTAGCAATGAGTACATCAAGGTTGTTCACCATCAGCCAACTAGAGCAGTTTCTATGTCCAAACACTAATGATTCATAAAACACCATCTATCAAAAAGGTTACGCTTTATAATAGTGAACATCTAAAAGATAATGGTGGACTTCCATAATCTCCATGGTAAAATTCAGGGAGTATTATTTTGCAGATATGGCAGTATCAGTCGTGACGTGGATAAGAATGGCTGCAAAACTGTGGGTTAACTTTTTCCACACTTACTCAGATATTTTTTTTTCTTTTCTGGAAATATTTGTTGAGAAAATAAAACAGTCCATAATACATTTCCTTGCTATAAGAGATGCTACCACAGCAAATTAGTGGACATAAACCATAAAAATATATTGCAAAAAAAAAAGCTACTGGCTGGAAACTTTTAGCTTGATTCTCCTTCAAATATTTCCCTGAAGTACATACAATGACATTATAAATCAAGAAAATTATAAGATATGAATATTATCAAGCTAATTCCTGACCCCAAATTTGTTGAATACCCTCACAGAATCCCCCACTTTTTCCTTGGACACTGTTCCCTTATTTGCACTGATGCCCTTCATTCATTCTAATCACCCTTCACTCCCATTCTCATCACCCTTCACCCCCCTTTCCCCTTTTACTAATCCCTGTCTTGCCCCATTTACTCCCCCTCTTTACCCTTTTCACTACCATGTTATTGTATATGTTTTATGAGCATTGCCACACACATTTTATTTTAATTATTATCTCATTTTTACACTTTCACCCATAATACTTTACTATAGTGCTATATTTGCTTTGAGGTCTAGCACATTTATTTGTTTTAACCTTTAACCAGTAGCCATTCCCACTATGTAACTTTTAAAAAATGAAGAAAAAAGATACCAACAAAACAGCACATGACCAAAAGACTATTATTTCTCAAATATCACTCCACACATAACTGATGAAAGTCCAACACTATCAAGCTCAAGTTCTTTATCCACGTCACATTACCATGAGGCACAACAGTTTCCATAATACTATTTCTCATTAACAATACAACATTTACATCAGACATTATAAATGGATGGTATATATGCATTAATGTATTATTCAAAGCATGGAGTGTTGTAAAAAAATAATTTAAGAAGATGCATAATGGTAACCCAGTGTACCATTCTGTATTCAGGCATGAGAGAGAGAGAGAGAGAGAGAGAGAGAGAGAGAGAGAGAGAGAGAGAGAGAGAGAGAGAGAGAGAGAGAGAGAGAGAGAGAGAGAGAGAGAGAGAGAGAGAAGAGAGAGAGAGAGAGAGAGAGAGAGAGAGAGAGAGAGAGAGAGAGAGAGAGAGAGAGAGAGAGAGAGAGAGCGAAAGGGGGATGGGGTGGGGGTGGAGGAGAGCGAGAAGAGAGAGAGAGAGATAAAAATGAGATGAGAGAAGCAAAGAGGAGAGTAGAGGAGAGATAAAAAAAATAATGAGATGAGGGAAGTGAAGATGAGATGAAATGAGGAGAATAGAGACAAGCCAAAGGGACACAACAGGCCTAGAAAGAGACACAGGGAGTCCAAAATGAGATAAGATATGAATTACATATTTCAAAGTAGATTCTAGTACGAAATGGTCATTTTGAAGGCACAAAGAGAGAGAGACACAGATATGTAAGTCCGAGACAGAAATATCAGAAATGGTACCACAAAAAATGTGGCATATGCAATCTAGGCTTCTAAAATGTTGCAGATTAATAATCTCATACTGCATCTTGGTTCATGACTCCTATCATGGAATACCTTTTGATTCTTCACATGTCCTTAAGACAATGTGAACAAGCAGAAACTCAAGAGGAAATAAGTCCACACTATTCAACAATACATCTTTGCAGCACAGTACATCCCCTTAACCCTTGATATGTAAACTTAGCACTTGAATGGTAAATTAAGTATAAATGCACTCAAACATCTTTATTTGCATTGTAAAAGAGAATGAATTCTGACTAGTCTTAAGCATTTAAAAATCATATCACAAGGAGCAGCTTATTACCATCTCCAACATGAATGTGTATGTTTACATGTGCATGAAAAAAGAACTTTGGGTCAAGGAGTTGCACATTTTACAATACATGGCCATATAGACTTAACATTATAGTTACCTTTATAATGGTACATCCAATAACAAAAGTCATTTTGAATAGATCTTTACCAGACCCACATATGAGTATCAAATTGGTCAAGTTATGGTCTGTTGTGGCATTTTAAAATAAAATTCATTCCATAAAAATGATAATTGTTCAACACAACTTGTTCCCCTCCCCACACCCTATTTGTAGTCTAACAGTAACAAAATCAACAAAGTCTTGCTTGAAAAAAGTGAATGATATTAATCAGTGTCTGACAAATGCACCGTTTCTCTAAAGTATAATTTCCATTCACATTAACATACTGAATATTCATATTGACTTCCACATCAATGCAATTCACATGGTAACAAACTGACTTAGTTTCAACGGCAGATATGTATCAATATCAATGGAAATTTGAATGGTTTGAAATATAAAACCTCCATCAGATCCAAGTTAGATAACTAGCTTTGTTTTCGTATATGCATTAATGTTGATAATACAGAAATACCGTGAACAATAACCACTTCATTCAATGAAATGGTCCTCTGCACACACTAGTCTTGTACATGTATGTTCATGCACTGCCACAGATAGATTACAGAAATGGTACATCTGTGTACATCTCTATTTCCACTTGGATTAAGTTACAGCATAATATCCAAAGCATCCCTTTACTGCTCAACAAACGCATGCAGATATTTGAAAATATGAAAGACCCCCTATCTGGATGCAGTTCCATCATGATAAGATGTATAAAACATTAATCATATTGAGACAGGAAAGGGGAAAATCATCACTGCCATAACACTAGTGAAGTCAAGAGATTGTCAGGATCGCTACCTTACCCTGTCACATTTGGTGGCGCTGGTTGCATTGCTTCCGAATTTTATTCCCCGAAAACGGGTCATACAGTTTCTCCATCTGGCAATGCATATTACATTAAACATCTCCTAACATTCAGTTAAAACATTAATCTCACTGATACACACAAATCATTCCTTCATAGTGAATCATACTTTCCTTTGTCTTTCCTAATTCATACTTTAGTGTATCATAAAGTAAAAGAAAAAGGA